ATGGCTCGAAGGCAACACCCGTTATTAAAATTCCATAGCTTTACACTCCCATCACGTGCTCCTGTGATGAGTCGTCTCTTGGACTGATCAAAAGTCATGGCTGTTATCTCTGAATCACCGTGCGCATTAGCAAACTGTATAATCTTCTCGCCATTYTCCAGGCTCCACACACACACCACGGAATCGTGACAGCAACTGACGACCTAAAACAGTATACGTACASCGTCARYYATCGTTCCTATGACGTCATCGATTGGGATGRAAGATTTTTAAAGGAACGTACGAGGATATGGATCACATATATATCAGGGCAGACGTAGATTTATGACTATGAAAATACCAGTGCCGTATGCGTGCCTTGCTGTGACCGTGATGTTTTCTCGGATTTTGATTGGCTGATTTTTTTGCGCAATGCGATTGGCCTAGTAGTGCTGTGCACCTTGGCGTTACCGGTTCCGCGCCGTGTTCATGCCGTGTTTCGTGTATTTGATTGGGTGGAGAGTAAATTCTCGCGCAATGCGAGTTGTGTGACGCATGCCTTGCYACGCAACGACCGATGTGGGAATGTAAGAATGAARCATTTTTCTTACCTGATCAAACAAGTCATTATACAAAGCTCCACACAGCGGCTTCGTATGGCTAGCAACCTCATGCTCTTCTGAAGGGTCCTCGTTTTTTCCCTCGAGTAAACTCAGCTGCGATAAAAACCAAGCCTTATGTATCAGTACCTCTTAGGACCAAACTTGGAAGTCTGTAGGAAGACTGTACAATGGGGCACAACACCGTCCGTCGTATTTGTCATGCAAGGCGTGTTAAGAGGAGGGTTTCGCGGAAAGTCCCAAAGATAAACTCAAAAACTAAAACACAGACAAGCTTACCTGATTAGTGCCTACTAAAATACAGTGTAGCTTGTTGCTGTAGTAGAGACTCGAGATAGGATGAGGGCCTGGGAGGAGAGTCCTGCTCAGAATGGTCTGAACACAGCATAAATCCCTCATATCCCAAATCTTGATAACCTGTAAAACCATGATATTGAAGGTCATTTAGAAGTAATAAAACTAACCTTCAGCTGTTAATACCCTGAAACAACCTCTGGGCTGATCAAAGGCTAACTCACAGATCGATGGAATAGACGACTTGTACTAACAGATCACGTGACCCCTTCCCCTTAAACGAGCAAAATGAATCAAAATGAACTCCAGAAATGAAAAGAGCACCTCTAATTTAGTAAGAGGGCGACGTTTCAGCTCGAAATTTTGACTATAGGAGAAACGACATTTAATATAAAATCAAATATTTTACAAGGATTTGTATGGGAAAAGTGTTGGCTGGTAAGCTTTGGCCATCCAGTGCATTTTCCCATACGAATCCTTATAAGACATTCAATTTCATATCTAATGCCACTTCTCCTGTTTCGCTTAGTGTAAGCTGAAACTCCGTCTCCCTACTAATGCGGAGGTGCTCTTTTCATTTCTGTTTTTTATTTTGACAAAACTGCTTGTTTTAAGCGAGGTAGGGTCACGTGACCTGTAGTGCAAGTCGTCCGTCATGTGAATCAATCCCGAGACCTCAGAGCCGGTCAAAGGCCAGGCGAGTGCACTAACGCTACCCTCCTTGATTCTTAACCTTGATTCAAATCAAATCGGTAAGAGCGCGCACACACATGCGCATTATTGGTTCAGGTTGGTTGAAATGCGCACACACTTTCAGATCGTTTCTTTATCCACCATGATATTACTTATTACTTCGCGTATCTTACCTTGTCTTGAGCAGCGCTGATGATCTCTCYCTGTTCACTGTTGATGAGTATGTGAGTTATGCAAGCAGAATGTCCTTTCAGTATCTGGAAATAAGAAGTATTATTGTCGTCAAAGCCTCGATGACTGTTTGATTAATTTATGCATAATTAAAAGTCGACACTTCACCAAGGTTTTATTAAGGACGAACAAATATTCCGACAGGCACATTCTTTGTACGAACCCGAGACTCAAAGAGACTCGGATTGCGTTACCGTTACACCACCCTCGATTCCAGAATAGTTGGATTCCTGTATAGAGGCTTTGCACCATCACGTGCCAGCGTCCATTATACAGCTTGGGCTGCCTGTGGTTAAATGTCAGAATAATAAAACCCCTTTGCTCTCGGGAATTCTTTCTCATGTAAAACGACGTTATTGTTCCTGTCATGTAACACGCTCCCGTCACGTGATGGTGCAAAGCATCTATTTGGATAAAGGAGTGAGGTTTTTAGAGATCAACTAATTTGACGTATATTTCTGTCTTACTTACAGAAGTTGGTTTTGTAGGTACGTAGGGATTCCATAGCCTCAGGTGATGATCCAAGCCACCAGTAACTGAAATAAAGATATATATATATATAAGAAATTGGACTGCTTTTCAGGCGATGCGAGTAAACACCCTCAGCCTAAAGACTGAATGGTTATCAATATTTAAAGACATTTGAGTATGGATATGGATTTAAAATTTGAAAGGGTTTTAGAGTTTTATGGCAAAGAAAGAATTACGTAGGGAGGTGGGAACGGGAAGCACGTGCCCCTCCCCCCGCAAAAAAAGTTTTGCTTTCGCCACCAAAATTTAATTAATTCATTTGGGATTCCTGTGGATTTTGCAGGAAAATGGCACATTGCCCCCCTATAATCGATACCTCGCTATGCCCCTGTCGGTGAAGACAYATAATTTTGGCGTATTTGCGTAATTTGTCGGCATGATACTGACCAATAACGTTCCATTCCTTGCAGTAGTCAAAAGAATTGATGCCTTTTCGGGTACGGAACATTGATCTCCTAGAAACACGAATGAGAAGTTCTCATTGAGCATCTAAATGTTAGTGAAYTGGATACTTTGTAAAAAACGTTTCTGCATGGGTGCGTTTCAAGATGTTTTCCAAAAATTTAGGGCCATTTAGTGTTTTGGAACAAGTCCTTGACCGACTGCCGGTCATTTAGTCAGCGCATATATACTCACGTTTTCTTGCGATCCAAGTCACCAAGGTACATGGAGTTGTTAGAAGATGAAGCACACGAGATGAAGCACTGTAGTGTTGGGTAATACCTGACTTTACGGACCCAGTCCTCGTGAAGTTCCTGCATGACGGGTTAGAAAATGGAAATATCACGAGCAGCAAACGAATAATACAATCGTTTTACATGAGAAAGAATCCAATTCCCCTGAGCAAAGGGATTTTATTGTTCTGCCATCTWACCACAGGCAGTCCAAGCTTGCATTATGGGCGCCGGAATTTGCTCATTTACCGGTTTTCTCTAACTCCACCTCTATTAACTTACATTAAACTGCATGGCTTGGACATTTGCATGTCTYCCCAGGAAAATCTCAGCTAATGAAACTCGGCGACAGTTAACTGAAAAAAAACGATTTCGTCTGAGAAAAACTTACTTCTTATAGAACTTTTTACCTTGGGCGTAACGTTTTAAAATAAAATCTGCGTCCTTTTTTCACGAGAGTAGCACTTAATAGCCAGAGGCTAACAAACCTGTGGCCCTCATTCCGTGATAGAATTGGAATTTAGGAGTCGATTTTTGAGGGGGGAGAAAAACCGGAAAACCCGGAGAAAAACCCTCGAAAAACAGGAGAGAACCAACTATAAACTCTGCTCACACACAACACCGAACCCGTACGCCACCCGTGCTTTCCCTACTTTGCCATTACAGATCACATGTCCATYATTCTCTTGAGAATAAGATTATTTGTTTGAGTTGTATCTATATTCATGTGTCTTCTCATGCGCAACTATGTGCTTAAAAAAAAAGAATGTTATTTTCAAGGATATGACATGTGGTCTCAGAAGGGAAAACACTACGCCTAAGCTAAAGAGATCTATTCAGGACATCTGTGTATAACATATTTTACAGCCTCGCTCTGGCGCGAAGTCCCGGTAACAATCCAAGATGGCGATTGGAAAGAAATGCTCAGATCTAGACTATAACATTTAGGACAGGATTATTGTCTTACCTGATGGAATTGCTTGTCCTAGAGTGAGATCAAACAGATTATTAACAGCTGCCGAGAACTTGATGCATCTCACAGACCCACCAGCGTCACCAAACAGCAACACGCTTTCGTTGAGCTTGTGAGGATTGAACCTGAAATTGAAGAAGTTTTAAACATTGGTCCACGACTATGGAGGCAAGATATTTTCTGAGTTAGTGAACTTGGTGCATTGTGGTCTAACTTGGTACAAATTTACATCTTTTGCTCTTCATGCCTTATTTTGTGTTGTTTGTAATGAAACTAGTGTTCCGACTCCGGAAGAATCAGGCGTAACCAGAACTACAACAACAAGGCTAAACTCTTTATTCTAGTGTACTTGTAGTGAAAAAGGTACAAATAGTGGGGTGAAAACACCTATTGCCTAAAAACCTACCAAACTTACAAACTTGATCCGCGCATGGCGGTAAACGTAAGTGACGTAGCGGAAGTGACGTTACAGCACAGCTAGACCACAATGCATCTTGATTATCGAACTCAAAAAAAAGCCTTAGAAAGATTATCAAAGAAGACAAGTGCTTACCAATAGTCCATAGTGACTACACAGTATTCCAGTCCACATAGAACAAACTGTTTTTCAAAGCTATTTGCTGAGCAGTCGTAAAATACTAATAAACAAAACAACATGCAAGGTCAGTGTCATGGCATACATCCCACTGTCTATACTTTCGTTCTTGTTCCTTTAAATTAATTCTTAAACTCCTATTTTAATAAACGTTGTCATCACCAAAGGCAATAGGCAATATAGGCGATAGGCAAAAAGCAAWAGGAGATAGGTTATTCCAAGATCCAAGAATAGTTGGAATAACTTCAGGTGTTTCTGCTTCTTATTCTCGTCAAGATTATGGACCTTATGTGTTGACACTGATTCAATTTTCTTTGAATTCAACGAAAATGTTTCCATGTCTGAATGACCCATTGCCTATAGCATATAGCCTTTGGCGATGACAACGCTTTTTGGAATAAGTGTATAATTATAAACAAAGTGTAAGGGCAAAATGTAATGGTGCAGCTTCAGGGGTATTCTATTCGTAAGAAGTAGGTGTCTTTTGAACAAATCAGATTGCGAGTCAGGTAGCATCTGAAAGTCGATCGATTGCGGACTAATTATAAATCAGTGTTCATCTATACTAACTAACCTATCTCTCTGTCTGCAGAAGACACAGCAACTTTCTTGGCATTTGGTAACACAACACAGTCTGTCACCCACATTGTCCTCTGTGTGGACGATGACTTGCCTTCAAGCAACTGCACAAGATGGATGATGATGGATATTAATTTGGATGATATAGCAAAATATATTATATGTAAGAAAAAGATCTTATTTTTATATAGCAAAGATTGTCTTTCAATGTCACGACAATCACATAGTAATTGATTGCCCAGTCATCCAAGCCAGGGACTCCTGATTAAAGCGTTCGACGCCAGAGCGAATTTAGAAGGTAATTTTTGCTGAGGGAAGAAACCTTAGAACCCAGAGTAAACCCGTTAAAGCACAGTAGAGAATCAACAAGCAACTCTACTAAAATAAATAAATTAATAATGGGTTCTTATATAGCGCATTTTAAATATCTCAATACGCTTCACATTCATAACCAGTGGAGGACTTTACGGCGCTGCGTATTAAGGCGCTATTGACAGCCATGCAGCTTACAATCATGAGTGCGTAATGTTAGTAGATTAGTATTATGCCTCCATATTGGGATAGGCTGTTGAACCGGGAGACAATCCCCTACTCTTACACGAATAATTCAACAGATTCTTTTATGTCCCCCATTTACTGTAGGTTAGGAAGGGTTGGGAGACAGGGCCTACGGTTTTACGTCCTTACTCCCATATGATGGCGGATCTGAGGATGAAACCCACGACCATAGTGGGAAGAGGGTGCGTATTAGTAGAGCTTACCAGCCTTGCTTTAACTTATTGTGTATCTTACGGTATGTGTCCTGAGGTTGTGAAGGTCCATGCTCCAGAAATGAAGGATGCCGTCTTTACTGACAGTAAGGTATCGACCGCCAATGTTGTCTGCAGGGTCATCTCCACCGTGTGTCATCTTAGGGTAATACGTTATCCTTTGTATGGTGTCGCGATGCGAGCTGTGGATAACGATCAACAATCGATGAAAAGCTTTAGTTTGGAGACATTAAAAATGAAACTATATAAAAGATATTGGTGGATGTTGATGTATCATGCAACATGGTGGTCATGTCTTTTGTCATATTATCCAACATGGCGGCCATATCTTTTGTTATATCATCCAACATGGTGGCCATATCTTTTGTCATATCATCCAACATGGCGGCCATGTTTTTTGTTATGTCATCCAAAATGGCGGCCATATCTTTTGCTATATCATCCAATATGGCTGTCATGCATGGAGCTGTCATGTCTTTTGTTATATCATTCAATATGGCCGCCATATCTTTTGCTATATCATTCAACATGGCCGCCATCTCTTTTGCTATATCATTCAACATGGCCGCTATATCTTTTGTCTTGCTTGTCGATCATAGCAAGAATTTCCCAACATTTGCCTTTTTTCCACGCCCTCAATGGCAACTGATAAACAAAAGCATAATTAAAAATTTACCTTGGAATCTCACGYGCAGGATATGGGAACTCCATCTGCAAGGAAACAAAAACTTACATATTATGGTAAAGATTTTCAACTTTTTAAGAAAGATATAAACGCTTGCTGACTGAAAAAATATTTTTAATAATTCCCGCAAATTCCTAAAAGCTTGGCCTACCAGACAGTTGTCTGTCTGACACGGGCGGACGCTTTTGGCAGATGTCATCGATACTTGCCTCTCTATCCACACTGGTCATTACATCCTTCAGTTGATTCTCCATTAGCATGTAGGAGCAGAATTCTTCCTGTAATGAAGAAAAATATGTTGTTAGTTTACGCACAACTGAACTCTGCTAGGTCTCTTCATTCGGACTACCTGTGGAAGTCTGAGGTGAAAATCCCCCCCCTCTCTCTCTGTTCAGTCACAAACCGTTCTCTAAGCTCTAAGGCGCATGCGTTCTGAACCGCTGAAATAAAATATTCYGTAACTTTGCAGTTAAGTAGTTTTTTTAATACATCTGCAAATGCTTCAGTAGCGGTTCTTACCCAGTCTACTGTGCCATCACAGTTAGCATCCACCTTCATGAATATGATTGACAGCTGGTTGTCATCAGGCTAAAAATAAACAAGAATGATATGTTAACAATCGTTATACCGCAGTAGACGTCATGGTATATCGAATGGTTTTTGCGTGAAATGAGTATCGGTTTTTGGAGTCATCAGGCGCGAATTATCGCCATATTGCCTAATGTGCAAAAATAGTGCAAGGGCTTATGTATGACTGTTTCAACGCCGCTGCGCATATTTTCAGCTTAAGTTTTCACGGTGATACAGCGATTTAAATATGAATATATGTATTTATATATATTTAAATCGCTGCATGTATCACCTTGAAAACTTAAACTGAAAAACGTTTCGCATTTGACACTTACTATTTCTCCTCTTCCCGCCATTGTCTTGATCATCGCTTGCCGGAACTCGTCCAGGTCAAGTCCCCCTCCACCGTCCTCGTCAGCTTCCTGGTTAATGATAATTATTCATGATTTATACTGAGCGCCCATTTCTACACATATATATACTCAAAGGAACTCACAATCATGAGAGATGGTTAGTATGAGGTCGCTGTTTTTTTTTTTTTGTTGTTGTTGTTTTTTTACGTCCCCAGTGGTTCTTTTACGTCCCTCTAGTATTGGTTATGAAGGGACCGCCATTTAAAGTGGCCATCCGAGCCACTTTAGTATATGTAATTCAAACTTTTAAAAAACGAAAACAACTAACAATGTACTATCAGCTAGATTAAAGATTTTTCCTTTTTCATAGAGTTTCTTAAATCATCTTCTTTTTTCAGAAAACTTCGAAGCATATACATACCTGAAAAATCTGCTGCAACATTTCGAGGCTCTCATTATTCATTTGATCTTCTAATCGAATCATTGGTGGACAAGTGAGTTGACTCTCCACTGCCTATCGTGTTATAATTAAAGAATTACCGTCAATAATGACGTTCTTGACAACAACAATTAATAATTTTCCTTATGATTAACAACAACAATAATAATAATAATAATAATAATAATAACAATGATGATAATAATAATAATAATAATAATAATAATAATAACAATGATGATGATGATGATACTTTTAGCAACTATTCCTCCCGCTCCACCATTTCTTTATTTTTCAAAAAAAAAAATTCCGTTTTCCTCTTTTTTCACTGAGGCTGAAATTGCAGACATCTATTTTAAGCTTATTTTATATCACTCGATTTTCGTTTGTTGTCTTTTTTCTTAAAGATTGGATAACATCTTACACTTGTGTAAATCAATTAGTCTCCTTTTTTCTAATTTTTCGGGGTGTTTTATTTTTCAAAAAGAGCGAGCGTTTCTATGAAAATCAATCAATCAAAGCTTCTTACCACATTGATATCCRATTCTTTTCCTTTCTTTCCCGTAGAACCTGACTCCACATCTTCCTCCAACCCGCTGTCATATTCATCGCTATATTCGTCAGAACTATGATCCATAATAATTCACTCAATATATATTTGACAAATCACTGTATTCTAACTAAAGTCGACAAAATGGGGAAATAAGAGAGAAACTTGTGATGTAATAGTGAATTCTGACGTGCATTTGCGCGCGCGCTCGCGTGAAACAACTCATTTCCGTCAGGCGTTTCTCGCTCGAGTGACGTAAAATCTCCTGGTACAACTAAATCTTGAGTATTTGATTTGAACGTGTTATGATAGACTGTATATTTGTTATAGTCTTCCTTAGGTAATTTTCCAAGGCTTTACATGTAAACTAGATTATTACTAGTAACTAAATGATATGTTGGCTTAAATCTCGTTCAGTTGGTATTCCAAGAAATCGATCAAACTATGCCAAATGTCAAACTACATACCCCGTGTAGGTAAGTGCGTATATTTCACTGAAAGCGATCAAATTTGTACAAACAGCAGTCGATATTATATTGTCTTTAGTTTTTGACGCCGGACTGAAGACAAGCACTATTTTAGCCGGTAATGTAGTGGTTTTGTAGTTTACATACACGCATACACGAGGATTTCCTTCGAAGAAAACATCATAAATCAGGCTTCTCGATCGCTATAGAGATTTAACGATCGTAACCCGCACCTCCAAATATCGGAGTGTTCATTTTTGATTTCTACAGTCCATCATCTAAATCCATAAGTGTTTTCCATAGAGTCTTATTTCGTTTAAATATGGTTAGACTAGAATTTTGATACACAAAAAATACATAAATAGGCATCATGAACTTTATGTATGATTATCTTAACCTCACTTTAGTCGCTCTGCTAAAAGATTTTCTATGATTTATGTTACAAAATTATATTATTTTTAAATAAAGTTACTCCTATTGAAATAGGTATAAAAGGCATTATTTTCCCAACGGAAGCAAACTTTGAGATCTGGATCCTTCATCTATTTACATATACTTTAAAAATATGCACAAAAGTTCTAGAAGGTTTTTGCTTTGTTCAAGTTTGGCGATATCGCTTATGCCCTTTGTTTTTTTCCGGTATTTAGAATACAGCTTCATCCTCCGCATATTAAAAATTCTGTACTGTAGTCTTGCAAAGAAATAAAGAAGTATTCAAGTGCTTCTAAAAACCCTTTGATTCATTTCTCTATTTGTATTATGTTGAAAATTTGTCCTACTTTACATCTAATCAATCAAAATGAATTAATCGAACTGAATGCAAATATCAAATGTTTTTTGTTTTTGTTTTTTTTTTTTGAAACAAAAAATTATAGAAAGAAAATTATCTAAACTTTCTTTAAAGATCATGAATTAGATTTAACAATAAAATTATATTTGAGGAAGTAACCAATGCTTCTGTTTTAGACATGTTGGAATTCCTTTTTTTTTTGTTTTTGTTTGTCGAGATCTATTACCGGTATACACATATCTATAAGGGTTTGATAGCACCTTTTAAAAATGGGACAGTATTTAATTTTCAACCTTTTTTTCTTTATAACTGTAAAAAAAACTCCAAGCTATGCTCAGTCTTGGTTACGTGGCATCTGAGTTATACCCAAAGGTTGCAAGAGGCATATATGATTTGAAAATGGTTAATTGCCTCAAAAATACCAAAAAAWATATATACAGTGTTAAGTTTCGATGTCACTGACATCAATATCAAGTGAAACCGATGGTGATATTAAAACATCGTGTAACTGCGTAAAAAATAACAATGTTATTAGAAACTCCTTCTTTATCATTCCACTGCTTCAACTAAAACATTATTTGAAATCCCACAGAGCTAATTCATGAAAAACTTGAATCCTTACTATGGGAAAATAAAAGGTTTCCCTGCTTAACAGAGTATAGAATCTTTTGTATTATTAATATGTAATGGGATTCATATCTTTGATATAATGTCTCAACTGACAGGAAAATGAATTATTGTTTATAATGGAATTAGCTGTGTCGCTAATGATCCAATATTATGCTACACTTGGCTGGACATGTTCAACAGAAATAAAGAAATATTCAGTTATACATGACCTTAATGTCAAAGATAAATGATATAAATGAAATGTCTGGGGTCTATACCATGAAGAATGCTTGAAATAAGCTGTTGATGGATTTATCTTTCTCATTATTAATGCAATTGTTTCAAGTTATTCAAATTATTGATTAATTATTCATACTAAATTTCGTTTATTTTCAGTTTGCATGTTTCTGTTTCAAGGGTTTTTGATCAATTGTAATCAAGGTACGTAAACCAGTAATATTTGTGTAATAAAGAATACATAGATATATTTAAAATTCATAGCAGCCAACTTGTAGGACAAAAAATGCTATATTTTGCAATTTATTTATTGCTTTTCAAGGATTTTCTTTTTTCAAAGGCTCTAACTCACACATATAATAGGCCCAGGGGGTGTACTAGGGTGGGTAACATGATGGGGGGGGGGGGTGGGTGGGTCCGACGGAGCTTCATTTTGCAACCCTAAAAAAATACTCAAACCTGAAATTTTACACTCAAAAAAATACATGGCATCCAAATTTCAGTTTACGGAATTCACTCACGCCTTGCTGAAAAAAATCAAACAAATAATTTTCTGATACAAAAATCGAACTCCGAGATGTGACAACCCAAAAAAATACGAGTTTCATTTTGAGACCTAAAAAAATATGTGGCTGGTCTCTTGACCCAAAAAAATACTGGGAATGAAAATTGTCAAAAATACGTTGGACCTCCCCGTCATGTTACCCACCCTAGTACACCCCCTGGGCTAATAGGAATTTAGTGTGTTAGGAAGCAGCAATGTAACAGTTAGATTGGGTTTGAATTACCTGAGCTTGGTGTCCTATTTGAGTAGACTTGTTTGGTGGTTCTCTGTTGTGCTTTGAGGGATTTTTCTCTGCATTGTCCAGTTTTCCTCCCTCCTTAAAAGTAAAATGAATTCCCATTCAATATCCAAGCTTTCAACTACCATGAAGCTTAGGGATCTGTTTACGATGGTCCCATGCTAAAATATAACATCCAAAATTGTTAGATTTTTAATTTTAATTTTAAATATGTTTTCAAAAAAACTTTAGACTCACAATGACATTGATATGTGACTATTGTTGCCATTCAGGATGCAGTACTGGTCAATATCCTTGTATATTAAATGGTACAGAAGGACGCATCGCCAGTCCAGGGCATCCATCATACTACCCAAACAATGCCAATATATCATGGTCAATTCAAGTCCCTCATGGCTACTCTATCAAGCTTGAATTTAGTGACAACTTTAAAATTGGGCTGGAGACAAACTGTCGATCTGATTACTTAGTCATATATGATGGCTTTACCACAGGAAGCCCAGTAATGGGAAATTATTGTGGCTCAGATAAACCACCTAGTTTATACTCATCTGGGCCAACTTTATTGGTTGCCTTCATTTCTGATAATGAATATCAATCTTCTGGATTTTCTGCTAATTACACAGCGATAAAACCAGGTAAATATTCTCATGGTATAATATTTTTGCTAAATATCTTTTTGCTACAAACCTTATGCAAAAGGGTGTGGTTCTAAATTCCATAAATCGAATGCTTACTTATTTGGCAAATTATTTTGTTGCCAATTGAAAGACCACAAGAAAATTCGTATGCACACAGTTTCAAAGTAATAAGAGTTATTAAAGTGCCAAAAATATGAAAATGAGGCTGGTCAGGGCTCATGGTTCTCTCTCTCTACAAATCCTTYTAACTACAAAGTTCTGTAACTTTTCAGGTATTTGTGCTAGAGCACTGAAATTTTGTTCAACTCATAATGTTTGTATGCTTTTCAAATGTTGGCTACTGTGACTTCAAAAATATAGTGGCTTAGGAGTAAAGACACGTTTCTTTTCTATGGGATTTTGTATATGGTCTAGTTGTAGATTGAAATTTWAAAAAATGAATTATAGAGTTATAGATTCATTGAATGAAATGTTTACTTAACTGGAGGATAATTTTATCTACTCAAATCGTTGTAAGAAGTGAAAAAATAGCTACTTGTAAAATTATCTGAGCACAAATACCTTTAGTTATCCATATTTTTTTGTCTTCATCGATTCTTCAAGTTTTCTCAATCAAACTTCTTCTTCTTTTGTTGTCCTTTCTAGCTAAATGATATTTATTCAGCTACCAACACACGTATTATACGTTGTCATTTAGCAATGATAAATAATGACTTGTCTTGATAACGTTAAATAAGGTATAAATTTGTAAAACAGGCGTTTTTCATTAGAGACAGCTGTTTTGTCAGCCATTTTGCAATTTGATTTGCAAGTCAACCACAGGAATCCCAACTCTAGTATCACGTAAATATACGCAATGACCAATCTTAGTCTGTTCTCCTCTTTAAAGGTACAACATGCTCCGCACTACAAACACAAGAAGAAAATGCAAACCTTATCCTAAGAGACGCTTCAGGGAATATTTTCGCTCATTTTAACAATTCATATAATTATAACATAAAACCTCTTCGATGTTTATGGAGGCTGCGAGCACCGCCAGGCTATGGGATCAAGATAGCTATCAACGCTTTAAAACTTGATAAAAATACTAGTTGTTTGCAAAGTAATTTCAATGTATATAAGGGATATTTTGTACAAGAAGACAAGCTGGTCTCGAGATATTGTAAAATTGAAAATCCAGCCAAAATATATTTACCCGATAGAACTGCAGTTTTAAGAGTTCAAATAAATCAACTGTCTTCGTGGATTGGAAGCGAGGCATTTGCTATTAAATATGAATTCCTCAAAAAAGGTAAGATGAAAATCGAATTGGGGAATTGCATCAAATATGATCAAATGATTACTGCCTTCTCTCCACTCCACTCCTTTCCTCTCCTCTCCTCTCCTCTCCTCTCTGCTTTAGCAATACCTGTAAATTGTAGGTCATGCCAATAAAGCTATTTCAAACCTCTCCTCTCCTCTCCTCTCTCCTCTCTCTCTGCATTACCTGAAACATCCCCGTTTGTCGTTTTAGTGATATAGCTCATGGATATTTTTCATTTCTCAGATATAAATAAGTGCTCTACACTAAACAGCGAACAAGAAAACAGCAACATTATTTTAACCAGGAATAATGGCAGTTTTACAATACATACGGAAAACGGTGATCCTGACCAAGGTCTTCAGTGCCTATGGAAAATCAAACCACCGAATGGTCATCAAGTTAGACTGAGTTTTACGAAGTTTCTTCTTGAGAGCGACTGTCGGGATTCCTTCGTAGAGATTTTTGATGGAGAAAATAGTGAAGGAAACGGAAAGTTCTGTGGTTCGGTTCCTCCGTGGGTGATGTTTTCCACCGGGGGATATCTCGTGGTCAAGTTTGTTGCGCGGTCTAGTAATATGAGAAATCTTTCAAGATTGAGTATCGTTGGCGTTTATGAGGCTGTGACGTATGGTAAGTGACGGGACCATTTCGTCATTCTTGCCTCTGAGTATGGTCAGTCAGTTGGTTAGTTTGTCTGGTCGGACGTCAGTTAGTCGGTCGGTTAGTCAGTCGGTCGTTCGGTCTGTTTTTCTGCTTGTCTCCGTTTTTTTTTTCTTGGTGCGTGCGTGTTTGCTTGCTTGCTTGCTTGCTTGCTTGCTTGCTTGCTTGCTTGCTTGCTTGCTTGCTTGCTTGCTTGCTTGCTTGCTTGCTTGCTTGCTTGC